CAACTGCACCGATGAAACAAAGTTCATTTTAAAACAGTAAGTCTCTCTGGTCTCACATGTTACACAACAAAGATTTGTATTGGACGTGTTCAAGTACATTCTACTACTGTAGTTATTGCATCGAGGCTAAAAGTTATACATTATACAGCAGTGGGTTGTTGTCACGTTAAGTACTGAGAGAATGATTGATAAGGATACAGCAGCACTGGTAAATCTCTAGGGTTGTTTAAAAAAAAAGAACCAAAGCAATGAATATAACAAGGGAACTGACATGCTAGGCCACTGGCCCATCACAATGACATGAGCAAAGCATCCGGGGTCTAATACCGAGACAGATTTAAACGTGTCCGCACAGAATACGAATCGCAGATGCAGTAGTGAACGGAGGAGCTGTGCTCCCGTATTTATTCATCTTAGACCACTTTGTACACTAATACTCATCACCAGGACCGTCCATGGGGGGGGAGGAGGGGGCCTGGGGAAAATGCGGCTGTGTGGGCCCCCCGACAACTTCAAACTAAACCGCAAGTATTATACTCCGTCTGACATCGTGACGTCGAAGCATAGGTGCCCTCAAAGCGCAGGGCCCGGGGCAGTTGCCCTGTGCGCCTTTTGGCGTCCTCTGGTCTAGCGCCGTTTGGGACGAGGCTCAAAAGAAAGCCGTCTCTGGTGTGGACCAATCAGCTTCAAGGACAATGCATATGTTATCAGAGTGTGTATTTTGTTTGCATTCTGACCACAAGTGTTGTGGTTAATGCAGACATGATTCCTTGCAAAAAGGTTTCAGTTTTGTTGCTGGAAAAAGGGGAAAACCTATTCACATATTTTGGTACTGGTAAAGGAGGTCACATGATGTAGTAAAAAGTTAATGCCACCCTTTTATAAAATTAAAGTTTAAACTTCAAAAATATATTAGACAAGTATTAGAAGTGGCACATCAGTTAGCTTATTGTAATATAAAATTGCCCACCCGAGTTCAAATCCCAGCGATGGTGAATGATAATGAATCAGTCCTAAATGCAACCTCCAACCCCCTTCACCATCTCGCATGAACCAGCGTGGTGAAGTATGATCAAACAACTACCATTACACAGGGGATATAAATTACAATTCCTAGCGGAATGTATTTTAGGTATACCTTGAATTATTTGGAAATATCATACTGATGTAGTGTACAGTATTTTTTAAAATGTATGAGCAATCCTTAATACTGTCAGCCACAGTCACGATACTGATATGAAGAAGGCATACGGTTTTTGAAGACGGTAATGTATTTGTGCCCCATGTATGGCCCTGTGGCTTTCTATTCCCCGGGTGTTTGCCTTCGAAGTTGAAATTCCACAGTCTGAACAACCCTCACCAGATCTCGTGACCGCAAGCTGCAGCTTCCGAACCAAGACTTGTCACTGGTTGGGAGGCTTTGTGGAGGAGACGTGTCCCGTGGCACGTGATTCACAAAACTAAATGATTTGAGTCCCCAGCGCCGCCGCCAGATTCTCTTTAAATACGTCGTGAATCCCAAAATTAATGCTTCATTATTAACATGCCACACATAGCGGAGCGTCGTCATGAAATGACATGCTGTGATGCATACAGTAAATATTCTACAATGCAAAAATATAAACAGATGCACAAATAAACGTGATGTATAGCAAAACATCTGTTAGCATGACTCGAGTAAGAAAAAAAATGAGGTTAATCCACACGGCTTCCTGAAATAAATGAAAATAAATCCACGCCTCCGGTTAGCACGGTTGGCTGCGTACGGTGCGAAAGAAGTTCAACATCCAGTACATCTGCCTGGACCATTGTTAGCACGCTAATTAAACTGGGTGCGCATGTGCATGAGAAATTGTAAAGCTATATAGATACGGTCTGTCGTACGAAGTTCAGAAATCACTTCCTTTGGAAACCACGTGCTCTCTCTCGTTTTCTTTACATTTAATTTACCTTCATTTAATTAATAACCAAAATAAGTCTGTCATGCTCATTAGAAAATCTATTCAGCCTTCCACATGCAGTGAACGTCAGGCTTCAACCCTCTATTTCAAGGCGATGGGGTTGAACTGCGCAGTGGTGTTCTTTGTTATCAAATTGTAAATATAAAGTGTCATATCTTTGGCAGGTATTTGTCTGTATTTGATGTTAATGACATACACATCTCATTTCTCAATTGTACAATCATTCAGAAAGCTGGACATCCTCCAACACTAGAAAGGCTTTCCACTCAATCAGTCCGGCTTTCAGAACAGCATCCAGACGATTATTGTTATTCGCCCTATCTGTTGTGTATAATGTCACGCAGATCTGCATTTCCCGTCACTATTTATTCAATGGCATACGGGATAAGCGCCCATCGTTATGGGAACGGAATCTCAATGGCGAATGATAATCAGGACAGCTGGTATTAAACGGAGCCAAGCCCGTGTTGGTCTCACGTAAAGGTGTCACATTCTGCCACCGCATAATCCTCGGGGGTAATGATGCACGCACCTCTTTTCAGGCAGTGCAATTACCATTGAAATGCATTGAAAATTATCGTGCAGCCAAACATTTTCTGGATGTACAAGGGGAATAAAAAGCCAGTGCTTGGGAAATGGCATCCTCTTCCTTCCGATGTTAGGAAGTCACTGGAGCAACGCACTTTTAAATCACCTACATTGAAAACTCATTTCTGTAGAACTGCTTTTGTGTGTGTTTAGTTTGTGGTCCTTCCTCCGCACCTCCGATTAGCACGGTTGGCTACGTACGATGCGAAATAAGTTCAGCATACATACATGCAAGGCGGGAGGGACAGACGAAGGAGCAAAGTACAATACAATGCACCGAGTTGCACTGCTGACAATTTAGCCCCACAGTAGCAATACAGCACCTGTTTCAAGGATTGTAGTCACCCATAAAAGCAGTCGGAGATCAACCATGCTCAAGTAAAGGTGCAGCCCTGCAATTGCTTGCTCGCGTCACTGTTTGATGATGGGCCTTCGCTACACCAAGCAACTCAAGAGCCCTGTCGAGGGTTTTTGGCCCACTCGTCCACGCTCGCCAGGTGTTTCTGGAAGAAGTGGCAGCACCCACGCTTTACCCCAACCGCACACAACCTGTCGATCGACTAACTGCTCAAGTAAAGCAATGTTTTAAAAGCATTAATCAATTTAAGAAATGTAAATGTAAAATTTCGAGTTCGTAAGTTCTAATTATATGCGATTATTTTTTTGTTCAGTCACATTAAACAAATGTTAATAATTGCATCAAATATCATATTTAGCCAAATGTCCGTTTGGCAGTAAATGCTTTCAAAATGTGCCCGGTTTGCAGTGTGACGACACGTTTCCCATGCAAAGTCACTTGAAATAACATACATCAGGGGAATACATTAGTGATCATCTACTCCCGATTCATTAAGAACACAAAGGGTTGTGATTTCACAAAACCAGAAAATTATTTAAAAATAATCCGCATCAACATAATAACACCATTTCCATGTGTTAATTTGATTTGGGAGTACAGTAAAATGGGAAATGTGTCATTTGTACCAAAAAAAACATGCATTCAAGTAGATCCGTATCCAACAGAGGTGGAAATGGTTTATTTTATTATTGAATCTTAAGCTCACGACGCATGCGGAGAATTGCACGTTTAAGAATCGATGGGTTGTTTTATTTAAAAATGTGTATGCATTGCTTGTAAATGGGGTTCACGTGACCCCTGCAGCCACTGAAGACCAGTACATTAACCATGCAATAAATAAATTCATCGAATCACTACCCTGAATCGTGACGATTCATTACATTTCTGATGTGGGGAGTAAATAGTTAAACCCAGGTTGCTTTGTTAGCCTAGAAAAAGCAGCTACCATCATTCGCGGGCATTTGTCCGCAAGCACCGAGGGCACATGGAATTGATAACGATGTGTGAAACAGCACTCTCGCTGTCCAAATTAGCTCGAAATGATTCAACATCTATGCGGCATGTGCGTTCGACGTTCACACTGACTGATCTGTGGAATATGAAAGTATAGCAGTGCCTTTTTATGTATTTCTTCTCCTGTGCTTTAACAAAAACACAGGTGCTTTGATTAAAACGGCCATGCTTATTTTTACCAGATCAAAGGCTCATTCTGTTTACTCCAAATATGTCCGTAGATAGATTAATACGTACATACATACATAAGGTGTGAGCTGAGAACAAGGTGGAAACTGTCAGCCATTTTAGTCATGTGTTCAAACATGAGCAGATTTTAACTCTCTCTATCCCCAAAAAGTGCTGCACAAAGACAGTCACTGGTGCCAAGTTTGATCGCGGTTTGAAATTTAAATTCTTGTTAGATATTGCAATGTTGATCTTTTTATCACAAGTAGCCATGCATTGCCCAATTTCCTGAAGGAAGTGTTTACCAGTTGAGAATGTAGGGCGTTAGAAAGAAACACACGTACACATGTCTGTAAGAAGACTTAAAAGAAAGTCATTATCAAGGCTCAGGTATAAACATCTTAATTTTCAAACTGCTGCCCAAACTGGGTGTTCTGTGGTCTGGGTCAGTGCTTGAAGGCATGCGTAGCCTCATAATTATAGACACATGAACATCATAGAACTTGAAATTGATTCGGTGCCTACCAGTACTCACTAATTATACTGGAAAACTAATACATTCTTTAAGATTATGCCATGTTCATAGCGATATTACAGGCCCAAACGTCTCAGCTAATTTTACAGTTTAAAAAGATATTGAGATAAATAAAGAGCCTACAATTAAACTAATCAGCGCTTTCTTCATGCTGATGAGCCCCCTATATGTCACAAAGTTTAAATATGTTATACGCATTGAATTAAATAAGAATATTCACACCCATTTGTGGCTTGCAGCACAATTGCAATTTTACATAAATCCACCCAGTCGGCAAACATGGAAGCAGTATTGCTTTTTTTTATCTGGAGTAAAACCTCTTGATTTGGAACCAAGTGGGAACCTGAAGGAGACCCCGAGACCCCCCCAGCCTTACCTCGGCATCGTCAGCAGATCGTGCCTCATTGAAGCTCTCCCACGCCCGGTACAGGCTGAGTGCCGAGGCTCGGTACATCGCTTCTTCTGGCTTCAAAGTCACAGCTCTAACATCAAACACCAGAACAAGAGCATCGCAATGAATATCTCCACAACGGCTCAAATAATAACCCTCCTGAATGCAAAGCCCACTTCTCCAAGCTTGGACTTTTGTATTTATTGAAGGCGATGCAGAATAACGGGTGCCCTTTGTCACCTGGGTCAATGCCCTTTTATTTAATCTGTGAATGTAAGTGATGCAAAGGTAAGTAATGTGCATCCAGTCTGAACCACCTTTACAAAAAGGATTATCTCAAATTCCAGACTGGGGGGGGGGGGGTATGTCAAGGGTATGTCAAGTATTTTTTTTATATATATAAAAAGTCAAATTGGTCATAATTATTATCATCACAGTGTTATATTATGGGACCTCCTTTGCCAGTACCAAAATATGAGAATAGATTTTCCCCTTTTTTCTGGCAACAAAACAGGTTGAACAAAACAGGTGTTAAGATAAGAATAGGGGTTTCCCCTTTTTCTAGCAACAAAACTGAAAACTTTTTACAAGGAATCATGTCTGCATTAACCACAATACTTGTGGTCAGAATGCAAACAAAAAACACACTTATAATATATGCATTGTCCTTGAAACTGATAGATCCACACCAGAGACAGCTTTCTTTTGAGCCTCGTCTCAAACGGTGCAAGACCAGAGGACGCCAAAAGGCGTACAGCTCAAAGACAATGCACTGTCAGAGTAATGAGGGCTCGGGGTGAGCAGCTACATTATGGGACCTTCCTTTGCCAGTACCAAAATATGAGAATAGGTTTTCCCCTTTTTTCTGCCAACATAACAGGTGTTAAGATGTCAAAACACCAAACTGAAACCTTTTACAAGGAATCACGTCTGCATTAACCACAATACTTGTGGTCAGAATGCAAACCAAAAACATACTCTGATAATATATGCTTACTATTATGCTTAATATTATCATATTTTGGTACTGGCAAAGGAGGTCCCATGATGTAGCTGCTCACCCCGAGCTCTCATTACTCTGATAGTGCATTGTCTTTGTGCTGTACGCCTTTTGACGTCTTCTGGTCTAACACCGTTTGAGACGAGGCTCGAAAGAAAAATGTCTCTGGTGTGGACCAATCAGTTTCAAAGACAATGCATATATTATCAGAGTATGTTTTTTGTTTGCATTCTGACCACAAGTATTGTGGTTAATGCAAACATGATTCCTTGTAAAAGGTTTCAGTTTGGTGTTTTAACATCTTAACACCTGTTTTGTTGCCAGAAAAAAGGGGAAAACCTCTTCTCATCACAGTGTGAATTAACTGGCATTCATTCTGCACTGGATTAAAGGATAAATAATGCAATCAGGTTTTTAAAAATGCATGCACGTGATTAAGTAATTTCCTCGTGCAAAAAACATTTGTATGCGAATGAAACTCACATGGAAACACGGAGGCAAACCTATCTAACAACAATACAAAACCAAGATCAAATCCACTTTTTAAGCAGGACTAATATCCAATACATTATCGAACGAATGAATCGGACAGGTAGCCTGATCCATCTCCAGGCTCTGACAGCCGTGTCTGTGTCTCTGTGGTATCGCTAGGCACAAGCAAAGTAAACAAAAGCGTAGTGCTTCAAGTAGCTTAAGAGGGACCCGAAATCATGATAAAATATTATTGCATCAGTGGCTCGAATTCAGATCCTAATAAGCATAAAAAAGCCATTTAACACAATCAGTGAATTAATCTCTCGCACCTATGACGAGCACGTTTGGCTACGTCGAAGATCAACATTCATGCATTCCACATTTCAGTATCATCTCAATCGCTCTTCCCACCTCGAATTGCACTTTTTTTATCTTTTGTCCACATTTCTCTTTCACCAATCAACATCTCCATCTCTTGCCTATTTTTCTTCTGTCATCTCCACGAGGAGTTTTTTTGTAAGTAAAAAAAAGAGCATGGGCCAAAACATTATTTCTGCATAGGGCCCCTAAATGTGCCAGCAACCATCATTATGTGGCCTTATCTATCGCTGGCCAATCAACAAAAACCCATCAGTAAATCTTTCAACATTTATTGGGACCTCTTGCAAACACGTTTAAGTGCACAAACAGTATTATATGTGTATGTCATACACATAGGGAGAGGGATGCTGATCGATACAGCAGTGGCCCCCAAAAATGTATAAAACAGTGACACATTTCAGAGCCCTTTTGGCAACAGATCTCCGAGGTGATGGCTCCCCACGACAACACGCCTTGTCAATCACGCGCCTTGTTTGACCATACTTCACCACGCTGGTCGGTGCGGATTGGTGAATTTGAGACGCAGGACCGGATTCGTTATCACTCGCCACTGACATTTGCCCGGGGCCACGATTCACTCACTGCCTTCACAGCTCAGTGAGCAAACCACTGCGCCGCTTACTCCAACCCGGTACGCATTCCAACATCTATGCGCCCTGAATGAGGCCCATTGCCCGAAACGCCGTGCACCACTGCCAACGCAGCAGCAGCTGCAGCAGCAGCATTACCAACCAGTGCCACGCACGAAACGGCGATGGCTCAACACCAAACATCACTCCCCTCTGCTCAACACAGCCCGTGAAGCTCAACGAGAGAGATGTGTGAGTTGTCGGTCTGTCTGTCTGTCAAAGCGAGAGGTCATTGCAGCGTCCCTGGCTGAATGATCCTCCTCCACACACAACAACCTCCTCCACTCACCTCGTCGAGATCTCAGGATGGAGACGTCGGTCAGGACGCGTTCCGTGTGCCCTCTCCTCTCGGCAAGAGACCGGAGCCACCCCCTGCTTGCTCCACACCGACTCAACGCGCACTCATTCGAGTGGTACAGAACAGGGCTCCCCCTTTCACCTCTTCTAAACCCTCTCTAACCCACCACGCCACCACTCTCCTCGTTGACCTCCTCCTCCACCACCACCACCCTCCTCGTCCGCTCCACGCTAGCTGCTCACCCACTCAACCAACCCATGCTGGGCAATTCGAACACGGGCGGACCACGGTACAACACAGGCCTGTCACCACATCCTCCACCTTCCTCCTCCTCCTCTTCGTCTTATCTTGCCCGTCTGTCTGCCGACAGATACGCTGGGTGCTTGCGCACGCAGAGCGTGGACTGTAGCGTGTGGGACTGCGAACGGCACTCGGTTCGCAACGTGAACCACCACTTCCCACCACCGCCACCACCCCCCCACCCACGGAACGTCGTGGGATCGCTCCGCCTCTTATGCATTGGGTGTCGACATTCGGTCTCCTCCCACGCCGACAACGCAACGCGGATATCGGCCCCCTCTGACGGTGCCCGGCCCACGTGAGTCCGTGGGACGAGGCTCCAGTGGGAGGCTACGCGCCCCCTGCTGCATGACATTGGGCGGTGCAATGCAACTTTTTTTGTTGTTTTTGATTGAAAGCTTTCGTGACTGCAGGGATTCATATTCTTGGTTCTTTCGGTAAAGTGACGTGGAAGGGAAATAATAAATTAATAAAAATATTAAACAATAAAATAAATATAAAACGATAAAATAATAAAAATATAAAGCAATAAAATAATAATATAAAAACAATAAAATAATACAAATGTAAAACAGTAAAAGAATAAAAATATGAAACAATAAAATTCTCACGTTTCGACTGCAACACAAGCAATCATCATCAGGTGAGAAATCCACAGCAAGAAAATGTTCTTGCTGTGGATTTTCTATGGGGCCGTCCATAAATGACGTCACGCGATTTTGACCCCCCCCCCTCGTCACACGGCGTCACAAAAAGTCAGACCCCCACTCAAATATGACATCACAAAGCTCTGCCCCCCCCCAAAACCATATTTCCATTTTGAAAATAAAACATGCTTCAAATCGCTTTAAACTATTTTCATTGTAGTGCGTATTTAATGTGGCGCTGCACTCTGATGTTGTAGGAGCGTTGTTATAACAATTAGTGTTGTTATAACAATTCTATATTTATTTAAAGTTGCGCATTTTGATGTGACGTCACATTTCTCACCTCCCCCCCCACCCTTCTTCACACATCGTCACAAATGTCTGACCCCCCCCTAGGTGCGTGACGTCATTTATGGACAGCCCCTATACATGGTGAGTCAGAATGACATTCTACACTGCGTTTCAGTGGTATGATTTCTCCCCAAATCTCGAATTTATGGATAACTTGATTTTTTTAAAGTGGTGTTTCCATGATTGTCTGATGTTTTTTCATAATTAGACGTGTGAGACCTTGAGTTAAGTTGTCTGGTGTTTAACCAACCATGGTGTACCCATTTATATTGCTGGTCATGTATTATAAAGATTTGTGTCGATCTAGTACCCATATAGAAACTTGCCGATAGCCATCTGGCAGTTTACCAGCATTGGTTTATGCAATCGGACTCTGCTGATGAGACAATGAACGTTGAAATCAGTCCACACTTTGCTTACGTTTAACCAATGCTGCTGCTGCAAAAAAATCACTCCTCCCAAATGGTTGTGAGGCCAATGAGATATATTTATTTCGCATGATATATGATTTTTGAACAGAGTTAGATTTATACAACACAATACATTCTGTACTGTAAGCTGTACGGTCTGCATCTAAATGCAAATGCTTCCTGCAACAGAAACACATATTCGCTGGTGCAAATGCAGGCAGTGAGTAATCTACTCGATATTTTTTTTAACATTCTGGGGCATTGGAAGCATCCGGATATAATTCAGGAGAGGTACAATGGGCATCGAAGACCCGGCAGAACCTCTGCGCCAAAACGGCTGAGAGTTAAATATGCTCTCCTGACATAACCCATTATAAACACTCAGACAAGTGCTAGGACGCCTTGGGAATTTCAAAGCAGCTGTAATGAAATTTGGGCTGCAATTTGGAACATATAATTGAGTTCATGATGCAGTCAAATACTTTCATCAGATGCAAAGTGATGCTTGAAAAATGCACACGCACATTTCACATTTGCTAGCTGGCTATACACTCAAATAGATGACTACTTATGAAAAAATTCTCATTTTTATTCTCAGCTGCGATAATCAAAGTAATTATACATCGTAGTGGTTTAAGCATGCTCTGCGTATGATGTACATTTGGGGTGTATTTGAAACACCAAATTCTCCAGAATGCCATTGCAAGACTTCTCACCGACACCTTCAAATGAGATAAAATCACCCCAATCCTCAAATCCCTCCGGTGGCTTCCAGTTCAATCCCGATCAACCACATGGATAACCCTCACAATTAAAAAAATCCTCCACGGACTCACTCTGCTCTCGTCATCTGACTTTTCCTACTACACACTCAATCAAACTCCACTCAATGGCCTCTATTTACATGCTATGAAGAAGGGACATTGCCATAATTGTCGTTCGTTATATATGTTTTCTTTAAAGGAAGTGTTATTTAGTAACGTGTGGCGTTTTTATGATATCCACTCCATGGGAGGTGACTCCTTCTTCACTGCTGCCCCAGAGGATTAGGAAATGCCACACATCAGTAATCAGTCCAGGCTCAAGGCATATAACTGATCTCCACTTTTAAAGTGACTTATGCTCCAGCAAAATGTATTATCTAACATTATTTAATGTTTGTGTAATATTTTCGATTTCTCATAGGACACAATTGATTTTTGCCCTGATTTCCATTTGCCTCATTGCTGTACTTAATTTTAGTTTTGTTGTCATTTTGGTGAACGAGGTCACTCTTGTAAAACAGCCTACCCTTGTCTCAATGCGTTCTTACCGGGTGAAACAACATTTACTTGAAAACTTGAATTTCTTATGTTACAAATATGAACAACCTACCTTTTGTCGCAAGGATGTATAAGTCCCACTTTTTGCACAGTGGCGTGACAAGTGGCATTTAGATGCTCTATAAATTCAGATTGCAATGGTAATACGTGAAGTCCATGTTGTAGCTCGTGAATTTTACATGAAGTTCTTTCAGGTTTGCCTCTGTGCGGTAATCTGTATCCACTGAATTAAACACATTCATTTAAATGTACATTTAAACAGTAATTAAAAGGCTCATCCTCATTCCATTTTTACATTTTAAACAGAGGAAAACATATAGTATTGCATGCCATTTGTATATTATACTTAGCTTGACATCACCTCTGTGTAATTATATTTGCCAATGTGAACTTGTTATCTGTTGATGTCAAAATGAATTAATATTTACTTTTGAAATACATTTCCAATTTGCACTCACGAGGAAGATTACAGTCAACAGAAGTACGTGTGCGTGGTGCTAAGTTAATAGCTAGACGCAATGAAAATATGACACGAGATTATCCCTATGTGCATAGCTATTGGTCCATACTGGAGAAGAATTCGAAAATCAAACTCACATTAAAAACGAATAAAACATTAAAATACTGCAGGCCGTTGCTTTGCACGAAGCTACAAATTTAGTTGAAATTGTGTTTTGTGCTCTGTGCTGTTTATGTGTTTGCAAGCTTGCATTGTTTGTGAAGGACAGTGGTGTATCACGCTCGTATTGATTTTTATTGTTTGATACATGATTCAAACACAATGTTCACGCCGCGTGTCTGCTTGGAAAAATAATGATTGCAGTGAACTGTCGCCCGGTTTATACATTAGAAGGGCACTACAAATAATGTGCAGTATGACCAAATCATCTGGAATGCGCCCAATCTTGTCAGATCTCGGATGTCACGCAGGAAGAGCCTGGACATTGGTTTGTTTGAACGGGCGATTGTCATACCACACAGGTGTTATAGGCCGTCGGGTGTGTTATTTTGTGCAAAGGACAATGCAGAAGAATACATTGTTGTCTATAATTCGATGTTCCCTAGTCTATGCTACCCACCTTTACCAACCTGCATGGACGAACATGGTGAAGTATGGTCAATTAGCCCCTAATGACCCACATGACATGGGGAGGACCTCATCCAGCAGGGGATTGACAAAACGACTGTTGTGTACACAGACACAGTTGTGAGACTGAGCAGGATATGAAAGATCTTAAAACATATAATAGATCTTCTTGGTTCTTTCGGTAAAGTCACGTAGAATGGAAATAATAAAATAATAAAAATGAAACATCTTATGTTTTATAATAAAATAATAAAAGTAAAAATATTATGTTTTTTAATTATTATTTTATTATTTCCATTCTACGTGACTTTACCGAAAGAACCAAGATGAATCCCTGCAGTCACGAAAGCTTTAAATCGAAACCTATAATAGACTTGGCTCGCAATGGATAACTATTTAAAACAGTGTTCTTCACTAATTTTCAGAGGGGGGGGACACTTTCGCCGATAAGGCATTGGTGTGAGGGCCACCATTCATTTGAAACTATTGGGGGTTGGCAGCACGATGGGGATGTTTTCACATTTGTGTATTGTCAAGGGCCGCATGAAAGACCGCCATCGGCCGCCAGTGGCACACGGACCTTGCAATGAGGAACAATGATTAAAAAAAAACGTTTACCGCTCCAAATAGGACCCTATAATGTATTACAAAAGAAAACATTCATGCCGCTAGAAAGCACTGGTAATGGATTCTGTCTCCGAGTGTGATTGCTCTCACTGATGACAATGCAGATATCCCAGACATACTTGTTCTGCTTGATTCACCCGTCTTTTAATAGAAGGCTGCATTAGTCACGAATATAACACGAATCCGTTGCGGAGGCACAACTACACTCGAGGCTAAACTACAAAATGCACCGTGTGTGGCTCATCACATGGCTGCTTGTCACTGGAAAATGAAGCATATTGTCCTTCCAGACAGCGGCAACCAGGGCGAGTGAGTAAGCATATCAACATCATCAGCCATGGTCAATCCACTGCTGGATGAAGGCATCCTCAAGCCGATGCCATCTCTGCGATGTCACCGAGCACCTGCACGCGAACAGATTTCATCACTCCATCTCTTTGGTGGATGGCATCCCTGCCCGTGACATTTCCTGCCCAAGCCCACTTATCTTCTTGGTTCTTTCGGTAAAGTCATGTAGAAGGGAAATAATAAAATAATAAAAGTAAAACATAATAAAATACAATATTATTAAATAATAACATAATAAAAGTAAAACATAATAAAATACAATATAATGTTTTATTTTTATTATTTTATTATTTCCCTTCTACGTGACTTTACCGAAAGAACCAAGAAGATGAATCCCTGCAGTCACGAAAGCTTTAAATCGAAATCAAGCCCA